ATCTAGGATGTGGTCGATCTAGGGTGCGGATTATGGTGCGGCGGTGTAGGGTGTGATGGGGTCTGATCGGAGAATGGGGCGGTGATCTAAGATCTGGTCGGAGATTGGCGCTGCGATGGGGTATAGTCGCGGTGTGAGTGGTTCTCTGGGCTGGTGGTAGGCAGGTAGGGGCGGCGTAGTGGCTGGGGTAAGGTGGTAATTAGTTTTTTTTTTTTTTTTTGGACAAAATGGTGGTAATTAGTTGGTAAGTAAGTGTAATTATTAGATGTTAAACAAAGTTTAAAAAATAAAGTAAGGGTAAGGTGGTCATTTTACTCTTTAAAATTTACTATAAAGGAAAGAAAATTTTTTGTTGCAGATAATAGAAGCATCCATTTATGGCAAATGCTGGAGATAACTATTTGCGGAGGGAGTATATATATATATATATATATATATATTGGCGGGCCGTGCCGACGATCGTGCTCGTGCGTGCCGTGCCAATTTTCAACATTTGTGTTCACGGCCCACGGCCCACAAGTGGGGCGTCGTGCCGTGCCGGGCTCGTGCCAACACGCGGGCGGCACGACCCGTGCCCATCTTTTCCTAACACCTTAATCGAATATCTTTTGACACGTAAGCCGATGAAAAAGTTGAATCGGGCAAACGGACTATGAATATAATACTCTCTCGATAAGTTTGTTTCAAACATGCTAATATGAGATCTTTGTTGATTTGTTTCGATGAGGAATTTCACAATATCAACATTTTACAACAAGTACTCTCCCGTGCAATATTTGACACATTTCTTATTTAAGTGTTTTTTTTTAATATTTGACACGCAATAATGGATTGTAACCGTCAATTTTCTTCTATTTGAACAATCTACTATGGCCTATTGATTTACCGTACCCTTTTCAATAATAACATTACTTTGTAAACGGTTGCACCTTCGGCTTCATTTATGCCCCACTTGTTTAATTTGTACTCAACATAAACAATAATTCAATAAAATCAATCCATCACACTTTTCCTCAAACTTTTTAATCAATACTAAAATTGCGAGTTAAGCACAAATTCAGGTACTCAATTCTACTTTTTTTCACCGTTTAGGTACTAAATTTTTTTTGCTTTGCTTTTGGGTACTGAGTTAAGAATTCCGGCCAAAAAAAATAATTCAGCCTAAGAATTCAGTACCTTTGGTTAAAGAATTCAGTACCGCGGGTCAACCCTTTTCTTTTTCCCCTTTCTTATTCTTTATTCCCCCTTGTTGCCCCTTAATTCTTTCCATTTCTGGAAATATTCGCTGCGCATAAGTCGAGGAACACGAGCAGCTACATTCAAATATGGGGAAAACGACAGTGAAAGCCGCCATTTTTTTGAGGTATGCTTACTTACTCATGGTTTTTGTTGTTAATTTGATATAAATTTTGAATTTTTTGCCCAATTGATGATGGTAATTGCGACTTAGGGTTTTGCGTTTTTTGGGTTTTTTTTTAATCGAAATCAAAATGTCGATTTCTTGTGTTTTTTGTGTTAAATTTGTTGTTGTGTTGTTTGTTGTTGTATTAAGCTTGTGTTGTTGGTGGATATTGATTGCATGTTGATTATTTATGCTCTAAGGTTTGATTTGTTGATCTGTTTTGCGCACTAAAACAGGGGTGGTTTTGGTGAAATTGTGTATGTGTGATTGATGATGTTGTGTGTGTTTTTCTTGTGCAGCAGCAGCAGGGGAAGAACCTAGCAGCAGCTACTGTTTTGATTTTTTTTTTTAAATCTGGAAAAACCTTGTTGAAGAATTTGTGCCTAAATAGACATGGTGAATGAACCTGTTTTGATGATATATGTTGCTGGTATACTGCTACAACTTTTGTGTTGCTGTTTTTGTTTTTGTTTTTTTTTAATTGAAATTGAATCAGGGAAAATCGTTTTGGATGAATTTTGGTTAAGAAAACATGGTGAATTTGCACTACAATGATGCTAGTGTTTTGCAGGTGTTTTCATGGCATTTTTTGGCCAAATTCATGCCCCTTTAAATATAGTAATAACGGCTAGTTTCTGAGTCAAAGTTATGAATTTTTTATTTTTATTTTTAAAATATTAATTTTTTAATTAGGTATGGTTAGTGGTGAGTTAGTGGTGAGTTAGTTCACCTGAAAATCACTTTGAGTACCCAAAAGCAAAGCAAAAAAAATTGAGTACCTAAAAGGTGAAAATTAGAAGAATTGAGTACCTAATTGTACTCTTAACTCTAAAATTGCACGAATGCGAACAATTTAATTTCTTGGTATGTAAGATTTTTCCCCTCCTAAATTTATTTTATTTAATTAATTTCTACTCCATAGTTTATGTATCTTGGAAACAATATACTCTATATTTCTCCAAAACTCTTTATGACAATATTATACTGCGTATTCTATAAATGAAAATAACTAATTTCATGTTTTATTTTTCTCCATTTATTTTTAAAGTGTTAAAACTTTTAATGATAGAAAGAAATTAATTAGTAAGAGGAATTAGACATAGAAGTAGAGTTTTTGTATTATTTGCCTTGTTCACAATACGAAACTTGCTCTTTTATAGCAAAATTTTACATTATATTCCGTGATATTCTACATTATTGTATTAGGTAAATGTTCATGTGAACTTTATTTCGATTTTACTCTCAACATTAAGTATATTTTCTCTACCAATTGCATCATAATAATTGATTATTCCAAATTGTTTGTTTTGTGAGTAATATTTAATAAGATAAATTTTAAAAAAATTAACATATATTTAATTTGAAAAACAAAATCATACTCTATTTAAGGAAATTTTGACATTTGCTACCACCTAAAACATCTCGCTTCAGATTTGCTACCTATTTAAATTTTTTTTTTTTTTAACTTTGCTACCACCCTAAACAGAGTTTGTTAGAAATTACTACCACTTGTCTTACACCGTTAGCATTTCCGTTACCACCACCCAACCACCGTCCAGCCACCACCCAACCACCCACTCCTTCTACCGTCACTGTTCAACATCAACCCTACCGCAACCACCACCCAACCACCCACTCCTTCCACCGTCACTGTTCAACATCAACCCCATCGCAAGCACCACCCAACCCGCTCCCAAATCCCCAGTCGCGACCCCAGCCGCTTAAACCACCATCAACAATCGCCAATCAGCAGCAGAACCACAGCCAACCACCATCAATTACCGCCCCTTTCCCCTGTTCCCTCGCATCACCACCAATCAGCAGCAGAACCACAGCCAACCACCATCAATTACCGCCCCTTTCCCCTGTTCCCTCGCATCACCACCAATCGGCACCAACACCCAATTCCAGCCGCCGCACACAGAAAAAAGGAACCCAAATTCGCAATCCCAGCCCCGTTCGAACCCCAGCAATCGAACCCAAAATCGCAACCCCAGTTCCGTTCGAACCCCAGCAATCGAACCCAAATTCGCAAGGCGCCGGCGTCGCGATCCCAGCCCCCTTCTCAGCCCCCTCCCCTCGAAAACCTGCCTCAATCCCAGCCAAAAACCCCAATCGATCTGAGCAAATCTCAAACCGCAATTCAATTAAGCTTGTGGGTAACGAGAGTGGAGAATGTGGGTGAAGGAGAAGGAGAAAGAGCGGTTTTTGGGGAGTTTTACGGCGGCGAGGTGGAGGACCATGGGGAGGTGGCGCCGGCGGCAGGAGGGGGATGGTGGTTAAGGTGTTTTGGTTGGCTGGTTTTGTTTTTGTTTTTTTTTTTATTATTTTTTTAATATTTTTAATAAACTTAACGAAAATCCTAACGGATTCCGTTAAGTGGTAGTGAATTTTAACAACATCTGTTTAGGGTGGTAGCAAAGTAAAAAAAAAATTAATAAATAGCAAATCTGAATCAAGGTGTTTTAGGTGGTAGCAAATGTCAAAATTTCCTCTATTTAATTTAAAATTGCAACCTTGGCTAGTTGGCTTACCAACTAAGGGTTTGTTCACATTTACTGAGCTGAGCTGAACTGAATTTAATTTATTGGTGCTGAACTGAGCTAAACTGAATATTTTATGAGAGAAGAAAATTAGGAGCTGAACTAAACTAAACTGATTAAAGTGGACTGAACAGAAATTATTGCTAACTAAAAACATAACATTTAGGGTCTGTTCATGTTTACTGAATTGAGCTGAACTGAACTGAACTGATTGGAGCTGAACTGAACTGAACTGATTGGAGCTAAACTGAATATTTTATTAGAGAGGGAAATTAACTTATTGAAGCTGAACTGAACTGATTGGAGCTAAACTGAACTGATCAGAGCTGAACTGAATTGAAACTAAGTAAATGTGAACATGCCTAGCTATTTTTTTTTAAAAAATATCTAATAATTAATAATTACTATAGAAACTTGTTAAAAGGCTCTAAGGGCCTGTTCCGATTGACTGAACTCAGCTGAACTGAATTGAACTGAACTGAACTTATTAATTAGTGATTTTGAACTACAGATTAGTGATCTTTGATTATTTATTACTATACATATGTGTATATACAAATGTACATATTATTATTATTATTATTAATTATTGATTATTATTATTATTATTATTGTTATTATTATTATTATTTATTGATAATTATTATTATTATTTATTGATTATTATTATTAGTATTATTATTTCAATTATTATTGTTATTATTATTATTATTATTATTATTATTATTTATTGATGATTATTATTATTATTATTTATTACTTATTAATTATTATTATTATTGTTGTTGTTGTTGTTGTCGTCGTCGTCGTCGTTGTAATAAGAGCTTACAAGAATGAAATTTGGCTTTATATCATTAGCAATATCATTAGACGTAAAATAAGAGCTGAATTGAACTGAATTGAATTGAACTGAATTTCAACGGAAGAGAACATACCCTAAATTGATCGTGTCACAATCTAAATAACCTTAAAAAAAATAAAAAATGAAATCTCAACTTCCTAATCAATGAATCAAATTCAATCAACTATCTAATTAAACCCAGAATCAAGCATCCTTTCTCTCTTTACACTCCAAGCTTCCAACAATGGCGGTTTCAACATCACACTACTCGCAACTACAAAATCGATATTACAACCGAGAATCAACACCACCAGAAACCTCATCTCTTCCATTACACTTTTCACTCCGACGAATTGAACTCTTCCTCAGATTTCTGGGTTTCATCCATGATTCCCGCTTTTCACTTTCAATCTCCTCACTTTCTTTCCTATTTTTCGGTGTTGGCGCTCCTTCTCTTGTCATCATCTTATTCTACTGCGGCTCTTCCGATGCCGCCGCTTGCCGGAAATACCATGTTAAAAGTTTTGAGCTGGAGACGCTGTTTTTTCAGGCTACTGCTGCTGCGGTGTCGTTGCTTTGTTTTTCGCGGAGTTTTAGAAAATATGGGCTCAGGATTTTTCTTTTTGTTGATAAGTATCATGAAATTGGTGATGAATTTCATTTTGAGTATATCCCTAAAATCAATGTAAGTTTTTAGTATACCCTATTCTTTTCAATTTAATGATTTGAATTGTTATGTATGTTGTTATTTGAAGAGAAATTTATTTGTTTCAAAGTGTGGAAGTTTAGTGTGTGTTTTTCTGGCCAAAACTTAGTTTGAGATTGTGTGATATTACTATGTTTTAAGCTGGTTTTGTCTAATGGATTGTTGCTGATGAACTGATGATTTGTATTGTTGAAAAAAAATTATAACAATAATTTTATTTAGGAAATTGGATGTGGGTCCCACAAATGGAAGTTTGTAATGGACTCTCTTAGTTAGTAGTGTCACTCAAAGAATGGCTCTATGTATGGGAGAAAGGAGTAATTGTTTATGGAAGTGACAAGTATTCTGTACTTGGTTGCAGTTCACAAAGTTTGTTCTTTTCTTGCACTACAGCCTTTAAGAAATTCAATGGCGACAAAAGTTGGACTATTATGGGACGAAGGGAGTATTCGTTCATGGTAGAGACAAGTGCTATTGTATTAGGTAGTGGATTGATATTCCTTTTCTTACCCTAGGGCCTAAAACTAAGAAAATTCAATGGCATCACATGTTGTACTATTATAGTGTTATGTCTCTAAAAGTCATCTAATATTTGAAGTAGTTAATATTGCTTGGTTACTTCTTGAAGTAATTGTTGTAAGACTTGTAACTTATGAGAGATCTAGAGAAAGAAGAAAATGAGGAAGGAAAATGAAAGTGTTAATCTGATGTACTGTGTTGAACACACTCCTCTTTAGAGAGTTAGTTTTTTTGGCACCTTGATAATCTGATGGAGTACTTGTGTATGTAATTATGTTTCTTAGAATCCGATTGTGAGGTATCAGACTTGACTTTGACATTGATCTGATCTAGGATTTATGTTTTGCTTTAGTGTATTCATCAGCCCTACAAACCCAGTGGTTTATCTTGGAATTCCATATGGCTATATGGGGCATGTAAAGTTTTAAGGCTATAATTCAAATTTGTGTTAATATGGGGATTTTGTTCCATATAATATTCTATTCTAGGTTAAAATAACCCGTATTATTGCACTTAGCACCCCGTCTTGACACATCCCTAAACTTGTAAAAATGTCATTAAACATTATGAGTTTGGTTGGTGGTATTGCGCTTAACTTTGATTAAATTTTGCCTTATTTAGAATCTTAGATCACTTCCTCACTCTTCTAAAATCAAGACAATCTCTGGATTGGATAGGGAAGGTTGAATTTTTAGAATTAGACTTTCAATAATGTAGAAGAGAGAATGTACTCGAGCCATTATTGTACGTGTAGAGCGTGCTCAAAATTTTGGTGGGGATGAAGGAGTCAACTCTCGGAATCTTGACTATATGGCTGGAAAATTGGCTTAAAGTTCTACTTTTAATAGATTTTTTAATTCAAGATATTATTTAACAAAAAAAATCAATAAGGTAAAAAACAAGGTATTTTTTGACAAGTTAGAATTTTTTATTGACAATGAAAAGAAAGTATTGGCTACACTGTAGAATTGTTTTATGGTTTTAACTTTTAAATGTTCCAAAAAATTTAAGGGTATGGAAGGCTCACACTAGGTCTGCCTCTACTTCAAACCTTCAAGATAATTTTTAGGCTTGAATAGTTTTTAAGAAATAGGTGTTTTATGTTTAACTTGTTCCTTTAAATCTTACAATTTTGAACTCTTTGATAACTATTTTATCCCTATTTTCATAAGTTTGTAAAATTTCACCCTCTAAGATCCATTTTGGTGCTTCATCTTTATGTTAAGCTACTTTACTAACTGTACAATAGATGGAAGGGGGCTAAGGTGACTATTTTTGTAGCTGTTAGTCTATTAGCTTCTCAATTTTATGCATGTGCTCTAACAAAAAGTAAATTATCAAATTAAATGCTTCTTTGTAAGTTCAGTGGTACAAATTGTGGCATAAAGTTATACTAAATCTCAATGGATATCCAAAAAGAGAATTTTTATATCCTTTCTCATTAACTTTTGGTTTTTTTTTTTTTTTTTTTTTATAATTTTTTTATAATTTTTTTTTTTTCAATCAAGAAATATAATTTGTTTGGAATTGACATATATCTAGCTCTTCTGGAATCAGTCTGTGAGACCATTAGAGACTGTATAAACTTTGCTCATATACTGAAATGTAGATGACTAAGCATACTTGTCCTTTTTGTGATTATGATATACATCCATGACAATTACAGAAAGTGTCATACCGTGGTTAGGTGTAATTTAGCAAGAACTTTTTCCAACTATTTCCCTATCTGTCATGGTCTGATACTCTGATCTTAGCAGACTATCAGAGATGTATTAAGTTTACATCTTCCTCACTACGTTATCTCTCTGCTTGTGACTTGCATTGCTAGAAATTTTGCTTTTGCATTACCATGTGTCCTACGACAGTGACATTATCTATGCCTCATATACACATGTTATCTGTAATTTCTTTTTATCTTTTAGGCGGGATAGAGAAATTTATCACAACTTGTGTGATAAACAATTGAGCTGCTGTCAATTTTGTTCAGGACTTCTTTCGCTCGCTGGCTGTATGGGTATTTCCATGCGTTATCTTGAAGATGGCACGGGAGGTTGTTAGGGTTATATATGTCCAGAATGATTCACTGGTGCAATCTATGATGGTTGTGTGTGTTTTGCTTGTTTCCTGGACTTATACTGCAACAGTGTACCTGACTGGAAGCACCTTGTTCAGTTTGGTATGCAGTTTACAAGTTATACACTTTGAGAACTACAAGAAGCTTTTGGAAAGGAATTTGAATGTTTTAGTATATATTGAAGAGCACAGTCGTCTTACCTTTAATCTGTCCAAAATAAGTCACAGATTCCGAATTTTCCTTATATTGGAGTTCTTGATTGTAACTGCTAGTCAAGTTGTGACTCTGCTTGAAACGACAGGGAACAGTGGGACCATCAATTTCATAAATGCTGCGGATTTTGCAGTAAGTCTCAATTTTAAGTTTGCCCTTGAATATATGGAAACTGAAGAATTTCTTGATAGCACCTTTACAGTATGAGGCAGTGTTTTTCTTTCCTTTGTTTTCTTATGCTACGTATGGCTTAGAAGCTACTTACACAACCAAGTTCTGGACTCTATATTTTTGTTGCCTATCCAATGCTTCTGCCAAAGTATCTACAAATATCCATGATTCTTTAAAAGGCATCTGGAAAGACAAATTGAAGTTTAGCTGTGTAACTAAGAATGATAAAATGACATAGCCACTATGTTAGGGATTTTAGTCTTACTAGCTATTAATGTTGTATTATATATAACTACTGATGTTGTACTGCGCCATTCATTTGCATGTGTAATAGTTTTTGCAAACTTTACTGTGCTCTAATTTATTATGGAATTCTACTTACTTTTAGTTATGGCAACTTGCAGATCTCCTCCATGGTTCAGGTAGTCGGAATAATTATTTGTTTGCATGCTGCTGCAAAAATATCGCATAGAGCTGAAAGCCTGGCATCATTTGCTAGCAGATGGCATGCACTACTGACTTGTCATTCAAATGAGACTCTGGGGGCATCAGAAAATGGCGGGAACTTTAATTTTGCGGGTTCAGCAATTGCATCAATGAACTACCCAGAGAGTGACATGGAGTCTGTTGACTACATGTTACCATCTATGAATGTAGAATTGAATCCAAAGGTGTCTTCATATCTCAAAAGACAAGCATTTGGTGTGTGTTTCTAGTGCTAACTTACGCTTATGCTGCATTGTAATTCATATAGAATCATCGAATTCTCACCCTTTTTTTCCCCTGAAGTCATGTATATGCAGGCCAACCCTGGTGGAGTGACCATTTTTGGATGGACAGTGAATAGGGCATTCATGGATACAATATTCTGTGTTGAACTCACTATGGTTACTTTTGTTCTTGGCAAGACATTAACATTTACAACAAACAACACTTGAAGAAACCTGATGCATGAGTGCACAATACATTTTAATTTGCCTCTTAAATGAGGCGGACGGCTGACTGATGGTAATAATTTGGTCTTTTGTTATCATCCTATTACATGACATACCTGTGCAATGAATTTGTCTAGAAGCCTCTTAAATTTGATGAAATTATCTATAATCTTGCCTGGGTATGTTTATTTTTAAGAAAATAATCAAGCATGACTAGAGAATTGTGTGAATGTTCCCCAAGTGGAAGAATTGGGATGGATCAGTAAGATTACCCCTGCATCCACAACCCTTGTTTGTGTTTTATTATATTTACCCTTCCCCATTGAGATTCAAGCTACTCCTGTTACCCAGAAATATAAGTATTGGAACCTGAAGCTCAGTAGTCACCATGCACAAGCCATTAGGTTGGAAATCACATCTTGATTTCAGACGGATGGGGTTAAGTAGTGATCTCTCTAGTCCTTGTGCTTGCCTTCCAGCATCATAAACTAGGGTGTCTATATGAAATTATGAAGTCCCCCCCCCCCCCTCTTAACCTATCCACTGGTTTGCAAGGCTGGTTCCCTTTTTACTTCCTCTGGCTGTCTCACCATTGCAGTTTGCTCAAACTTATAGGTGATCAATGGTTGTGTGGTTATCAATTGTTATTGTATTAAATGAAGTAGTAGTAGTGGTAGGACTATAGGAGTCAATGGGATAGTTTTTAATTGAATGGGATAAGGTGTGGGGTCAAACATTTTAGGAAAATTTGTCTAAAAGGGACTTATATATTCACTATTTTGTCTCGAGGGACCTTATATGTTTAAAGTGGTCTAAAAGGACCTTATAAGTTTATATTGTTGTTTGGGGAGATATTGAGGTCGGAATCCGGCAATAATTGACTTTTTTCTCCGTCTTTGACCTCTCACATGACCTTAAAAAATGACCCCCTTTTCTTTTTTGGAAAAATTGAAAAGAAAAATCCCACCTTTCGCCCATCTGCTCAAAATAATCCCACCTTTTCGAATTCCAGAAATAATCCCACCTTGTAACCCCATCTTCCCAAAATGATCCTTTTACCGGTTTATGAAATTAGTAACCTGTTTTAGAAGGTGACTTGACACGTGTCACCTTTTAATTGGTCTTAAATTTTAAATAATTTAAAATAAAAACAAAACAATTAAAAAAAAAATATTCTCCCAGCTACACGACCACCCCCTTATCACCACTGTCACAACCCCCTGCCGCCGCGCCTTACCACCATCACCACCATCACAAATTTCACCTTCCTCTCTGCAGTTGCTGCCACTACAACCCACCACCATCGAACCCACACACACCAAATCGCCACCGATCACAACCCCTCTTAACTCCCGGGCTTCGCCCAGCCACACCAATAACCCCACCGCACCACCTCCAAATTCGCCCAACATACCCCACAACGACCACAACTGCACTAACTCCACAATTACCCCAACTTCCCCCAGCGTGGCAGCCTTCAAAATTGCAACCATCAACATCGCTACAACCATCTCCAACCATCGTGATGTCGCAGCCTCACAAGTCGCAGCCACAACCTCCAATTCAACCCCAAAACAACACATTTGTCGCTGGCAATCCTAGACATCGGCCAATTTTGAGGTGTTTGTGGTGGGATTACTTTGAGGTGGTGTTTGAGGTGGAATTCGGGTGGTGTTTGCGGTGGTTCGAAGAGGCTGGGGTTCGAATGATTGAGGTGGTTAGGCTGGATTAAGATGGTTTTCGAGGAAAGAGAAGGGGGAAGGAAGGTTTCGCCGGTATTGGTGGGGCAGCGGTGCCGACGGCTAGGGTTATGCTGTCGCCGATGGGGGGACAGGTGGTGCCAATGGTGGGTGTGGGGCTGCGTTAGGGTGTTAGGGGATTTTTTCTTTTTCTTTTTTTTTTTTTGATTTTATTTTGCCTTTGTTTTATTTATTTGAAAATAAAAATAAAAATTACCTATTGAAACGGTTGTGGGTAAAAAGGATCATTTTGAGAAGATGGGGTTACAAGGTGGGATTATTTTTGGAATTCGAAAAGGTGGGATTATTTTGAGCAGATGGGCTTTTCAATTTTTCCTTCTTTTTTTCCACAATTTCCCTCCAATTCCTCCTTCTCTCTCCTCTAATCCCCAAATGACATAAATCAAAATAAGGGAAGTTGACGGAAATCGTGGAAAAAAAGAAAAGGGGGTCATTTTTTAAGGTCATATGAGAGGTCAACGTTGGAGAAAAAAGTCAATTATTGCCGGATTCCGATCTTAAGGTCCCTCCAAACAACAAAATAAACATATAAGGTCCTTTTAGACCACTTTAAACATATAAGGTCCTTCCAGATAAAATAGTGAACATATATGTCCGTTCCACACAAATTTTCCAACATTTTAGTAGTGGGAAGAGAGGTAATAATTATATATTGGCGGGTTCTTTCTTAAAATGGGAGTGTATACTTGTATAGATTAATAATAGACAGTTTTAAAAGAATGTGAAGAGTGTTTTGGGATGGAAGGAGTATTGAAATTCCTATTAGTAAATAAGCAAAGTCAGCTTCAATGGCCTGCTTTACATAGCATTTTGTATTTTACTAAATGTAAAGAGTAGTTTTGGACAGTTTTAAAAGGAAAATGTAAAGAGTATTTTAGGACGGAAGGAGTATTGAAATCCTATTAAAGGAAAAAAAAAAAAAAAAAAAAGCAAAGTCAGCTTGAATGACCCGCTTTACATAATATTTTGTATTTAGCTAAATGTACCTTATAAAATACGAAGAACGTTTCTTGCTCAAAAACTACTTTGAGATTTTTTTTCATTTATTTTTTGGGCAATAAGCCGATAAATATTGAATATGATATTTTAATTGTATCATCTTAAGGCCTACTGAACTTAAATTTTTTTTGCTAAACTTAATTTATTTTTACTAAATTTAAATTAATTTTGCCAAAATTTAATTATTTTACTGATTAAAACTTATTTTTTATTGATTTGCTATTATATTTGATTTTTAAAGTTACTGATTTTTACTAATTAAAACTTATTTATATTGAACTTAACTTATTTCCGCTGAATTTAGCTTATTTTTACTGAATATTACTCCCTCCATTTTTTTAAGTGGCCCATTGACACTTTTTGCACTATTCATTTCACCCACTTCGATCAATGTTTGTGAGTTATACATAAGAGAAAATATAGTCTTGTAGATACTTATTGAAATCGTCACAATGAATAGAGTATTAATATTTACTTGTTATAATTTATGCTTATTGGTAATTAATTTATGCTTATTGGTAATTAAAGATATTATTGGTCAAAGTTGTACATTGGCATGTGTGCCAAGCTCCTTTAAAAAAACAAAGGGAGTATTATTTTTAGGTAAAGAGGGGCCTAGATTTGATTGTTTTAAGCTTAAGGGTAGTGTTTTGCATATAGAATGTCTTATTAGGTTGTTGTTGGCCCCTCAATAATGTGTAAGATGGTATTTTTTTTCCCCCTAATTTTTACTTTGGTGGTAAAATAAATTTTCTCTAGCGATAAATATCATTATATCAACATTTACTTAGTCATCATGTATTGATCCTTATAATGTGCAACATAGAGTTTATTTTGTTATGAAAGTAGAACAGTAAATGCTTATGCTTCTCTTTGCAAAAGGAAATGCTTTGTATAGCTATAAATTATTTGTTGTTCTTTAGGAAAAGTGGTAACTGCACAAGGATCACTAAGTGGAAAGTGGTGTCCTTATAAGGTCTAAAAATATGGGAATTAAGAATAACCATTTTGCTCGTTGCTTTGGAGCTTATTGCTTAGCTGTAAAATCAATGTCTATATACGTATCAAGTATTCAAGTATCAAGTTAACACATAAAAGCTCTAAGAGCTGAAGAGTACGTTTGTAAATCATAACCATCATGCACCCCCATTTGTTGCTTTACATGTTTGCAATTCGAATTACTTGCATACTGTTGTTTGATTTATTCCTTATTGAGACAATTGATGACCTGAATAACTCTTTGAAAATTTTGGCTTTCATTTATCTTCTAATCATGTATTACAAAGCTGTTATCTTCTTTTGGATCATACAACCCCTCCACTGAATGTTTGTATCATCTTCTTTTACAAAGCTGTCATTTCAGTATTAACTATTAAGTGTGAGTCAAGTGAAGATATAGTAACATTGGACGGTAAGGATCTGTCCAAAAGTGAGTGTTTCATATACTTTGGTCTGATTGTCTATAGGAATGGATACTTAGACCAATATTCGAGTCACAAAAACCTAGGTATTGGGTTGATGGTATGGAGTTTCCCTTAAGTGAGTGCTTCAAGTACCAGTGGTTGATTCTGCATAGGATTGGAGATGTAGACTAATATTTGATTTATAGAATTGAGTCTGGTGATTATAGTATAGCTTAAGGTAAAAAGGTTCGCTTTATTGGATGGGTATTTAACCACCAATGTTATTGATTAAAAATATTAGGCATCTAGGATGGGTCATATTTGGAAGATACAAGAGGTAACCTAAGTTTTAATCGATTAGTGGGAATAATTTTCTGGATAAAATTAGGACCACCAAGCAAAACTGGTGGTTTCTTGGTCACGTCCGGCTACTATAGATAGTCAAGAGGGGTTAGGGTTAGAGTTGTGGACAATGATATACATTAAGGGAAAATCATTTGCGTTAATTTGAGCAAGTAAGACAAACCAAAAGAGCCTTGAGATCACAGAGATCTTAGTAGAAGCTGATGTTGGAGGACTTGGATATAAGGGAGCAGGAATAAAGACTTGAGATCATGAAGATCTTGGTAGATGGCGAAGTCGACCAAAGACGACTTGGATAAAAGGGGTAAGGAATAACTACGAAGAAAATGAGGTTACAAGAATATGCAAAAGTGCATTGAAGGGGATCTTGGTTGACGACCACTAGAGTTAAATTCTTAGCTGATATAGCTCACCCCATCATCACAATAAAGGTTCTGTTAAGTTGTAGTATTAACTTTTCACATCACCTATAACCACTTGGTTTTACTTCATCAATCCATGTCTATGTCCACTCCCACATGTATTTTTCAAAACGCTCTGTAATGCTTTTCTAGCTTTTTACAATGTTGTATAATTATTTATTAGGTGTTGTTTAAAGGTACTAAAGCTAATACTCCATACATTTAGGTTTATGTGTGTGTGGTAAGTGTGAAAACTTTATATTTTGGTTTATCACATACAAAATGAAAATGCTCGCATTACTATTTGGAGAATAGACAGCACCATTATCATGGCTAATATATCGTCTATATTTAAATCTAACACTTTGATTTATCCTTTTGTGTTTCTTTTTTGGTGTATTTTTATAACTCCCTAGTTAGTTGGGTTTTGTTTTAATTGACTCCTATTAGTCAGATCTAAAGAACGTCTTGTTTACATGGTTTATATTTTTTTAGTATAAAGTTCTGCATGACTTTGTTCTTACTGACTGCCCCTATCCTATATATCGCCTTAGAAGGGCCATCTATTGCCTCAAACAAGCAACTATAAAATTGCATAATCCCTTAAGCACCTATATGCTCCTGTGACAAAACATATATTATCAAAGTGATCAAACTCAACCATATCTTTATGCATGAAACAGAGATTTGTATATTCTTATATATTTGGATTGTTCCCTTATGACTGAAAACAATCATAATCTTTTTCATTATCTTATCCAGCTGGTGTCTTGGCACTTCGCAATGAACCTTAGCAGTTTGCATTATTTTTGGGTTTTAGGTATGTGATCTAGTTTTGTGTCCCAAGATTAAATAAGTTTTTGGTCTAGTCCCCGATAAACTGTAAAGGTGTATAGCCAAACTCATACTCATTGCTTCCATTATTTCTGTATTCATGGCAAACTACAGCCTAAAGGGGTTAATCTTGCATAATTTATCTACGTGGTTTCAACAATTTACAAATGATCTCTGTACTTTTTGTGTTGCTGTGAAGCATATTTACAGGTACTTGCTGAAATGGTAGCTAGTAGCTATCTCTTCAGTCGCAGCAATAAACCTGGAATGGTAGCTGGTAGCTTGGCCTCTTTTGTCGCAGCAAGAAACCTGTGTTGATGGCAAACTTTGTTGCCAACTAGGGGCTGTATTGATACCAACGCTTACTTTATTTTTCCACTACCTGGGTTCTATTTTACTCACATGATGACCAAAAGGAACAACCCACAGCCCCAGTCAACCGTACAAGCTGCGCGGTTACATTTATTTATTGGGGCATTTCGGAACAAACAATTACTTGTATATATGTAGCAACTAGACTGTATCTTTGTCATCCAATCTGTCTCTAGTGTGACAGATGACTAAGTGCACGATTATATAGAAAGCTGAGGCTAAGGTTAATATCTTACGATATGTTTGGCAAAGAGTCGTGAATAGGGCTGCCTATGCTCCATGCTTTGGAAGCCAATTTTTATATTGGTCCATCCGGTGTACAAAATTTGTAAAGTATAATCTTATTATTTTGCAATGTATATGATGCTAAGCCTCACAGCAATCCTAGGGTTACAATACAGGAAAGTTTGTAACTATGTACTTTTAATTGTTACAATATTCACATACTCTTAATATGTAACCATTTAAGAGTATTTGATTTAGGACTGTCCAAAGTTGACACGACACGATAACTCGACACGAACCCTACACGATAATTCTACAAGAACCCGACATGAAATTAGTGGGTTTGGGTCAAGAATTATAGACCCATTTAAGTAATTGGGTCATCTCACCGGGTAGATGATACGAGGAAATAAGAAAGAAGCGAGCAGTGGAGTGAAGAAGTTGACTGCCCACTCGACTAATTCATGCTTAAATGGCCAAAGGCGAGATATAAATTGATAACACGAAATTAAACGGGTTAGGTTGTGGTTGAAAATTTCAATCCGAAACCCACGTGCATAACCCGATTATATTAATGGTCAACCCATTAACCTGAATTCAACATGAATAACTTATCTATAAAAGTAGTCAAAACTCGAAATAATTGAACTTTCTTATGCCAATCTTACTAACCCTTCTAACTACATAATTTCATAGTATAAATACTTAAGTAAACTTTTAATGAGACAATTTTTTTGGTTTGGGCGGACAAATCTTACTACTCTTTCAAATTAAAGTCTTCTATAGATTTGACTTATTCTTAAATTCTTACGCAACTTTTCCTTCACCCTAACCTTTTATGTTTTTTATTTATTATTTAATAAAATAAAATATGTCTTTTAAATATAAATAATAATTAGTTTATTAAGTACAAAACTATATATTGTATTTTATGAATTAATAAAATAAGTGGGTAAAAGGTTATGCGGTTATGCGGTTGACCCGTTTAATAAACGGGTTAGGTTTAGGTTAAGGATTTTCATCTCGTTTAATAAATGGGTTAAATTTTGGTCAAGAGTTTATCAACATGACACGAATACGAATCCGACACGACTCATTTTACAGCCTAATTTGATTTCAGCTTCAAGAAAAATCATAGTTGTGTAAGACCTGTTATTTTAGCATCATAATTCTCGCTTTTCAGTAACCAAAAATCAATGGGCTTGTGATGATCCTACTCCTTTGTCATCTACATCCATTATGGTAGTTTTGATTTTGGCCTACTGTGATGCGTAAGTCTCTAAGACTCTAATTTAACTTCTACTTTTCTTTTGCTATTCAATTGTTTTATGCCAAACGATTGTAGTAGTCTTCTAATTTTTTATTTTATTTTATTTTATTATTATTTTTTTTTGACAAAAGATACTATTGAAGAACCAGGAGTACAACCTAAACAGACTAAAACATGAACATAAAAACCTACACACACTAAGAACTAGAACACGAAGATCGAAGATAACAAAATACTGAAAAGATCGTGCAGCAAACCATGAGCTGCGGAGCCCAGACAACCCAGAATACCAAACCACATCCAAACTGTGGACCAAGAGAAGCCAAATGAATTGAGACAGTCGAGATGGATCAAGAGCGCAAAACACGAACCTTGAAGAGAACCCAAACTGGCATCGGAAGCGACGGGAACTCATAATGGAAATTGTTGGGAGACGAAAGAACCCGGAAGATGCACCCTGTTGCTGAAGAACTAACCTATGACACCATTCCACTCATAGGGACTGCAAAACGTAACTGCATCCTAGGAGTCTCAGAACCAAACCTATAGTGTCATATACTCTAATGACGTTCTCCTCTTGCAACTCTAACGACGGAGAGTGCAAGAAAATGGAGGACTTTGCTCAACCCAAACATTAAAGATGGGTAGCCTCCTTCAAGATATTGTTTAACAACGATGACAAACTTTGTCATCACCCAAACCAACAACGGGATGATAGCAATTGAATGAATGCCCATATCATCCCACAACCCAGCAACAAGAACAACACACCAAACCCTTCCCCCAAGACCACACTTCTCCTTCAAACTCCATATGCAGGGAGAACCAACTAACTGCGCAATTAACTTCTCCCCCTGGAGAACTATATTAACTACCAAGGAAACACCTTCACACCCCGACAAGGCTCCAAGTAGGACCACCCACCCAACTAAAAAATATTGTTGAAATTGCCATTTAAATCATTATTAAGTTGGCAAGTCCACTATTCCACTTTACTCCGTAGCTTTTAAAAGTAGAATACACGCACTGTCTTTGGTGTGTTCTTCTTAATTAAAAATTTAAGAAAAATATTGATTGGACTCACTTTGTCATGTTTGCTTCCAAAGAAAAAACACGAGTATTTACTTTCCTAGTAGTAGTAGTAGTAGTTCATTCATGAAAATATTGAGAATTTATGTAATTTGGGTTGTTTTTTAAAAGGGGTGTTTAATCGGAGCTTTGGATACTTGTGTTCCGTATTATGTGAAGTTACATTTGATTTCAACCAAAATGTAGCTTTATTATTCATCCAAATAAGTTGAACTTAATAATCTTTGTTTCAATATGTGGTAGTTATTGTACGATCATTTATTGGAAAAATTAAAAAGGGGTTTAGGAATACAAAATATTGGTGGAGCAAGTAAAGAGTCATGTTGTGGGAAAATAAATCGACGGAGTACAAGAAAAATCTTACATTATGAATTAAATCCAAGTGTAGTTAACAGTTATTTATAGACCTCTAACAAAATATTCAGTTTTGTTTATTCAGTCAATTCCTATTGCATAGCTAAGACAAAAATTCAACCGAATATATCTTTAATCATACTGTAAATAGTGTATCATACCGTAAATAGTGTCAAAAGTTAAAACAAAACGTAATGCTAACGATATTGTAAAGTAAACGAAATAAGCATCAGATTTCAATGACTCGTCTGCTCATCATCATTATTTCAAACTGCAGCTACATACAACAAGATTTTCTTAAAAAAAAAATTAAAAAAAAAAACCAAAAATAAAAGTACGAGCAACAGAACCCAAGGAATACAAGTACTACCTCCGTTACAGGTTATGTGCAACGATTTGACATAAAGCAGAGAGAAAAATGTCTAATCGTTGCATATAACCTGTAACAGAGGTAGTATATCAAAAATCGGATAAGAGTGGGAACATGAAGGATGAAGCACATGAACTCTCTCGTCATTATGAAAAGCAGCTTTCCATCTCAACTTGTTCGGTGCATGATGAATTTATGGGATTTACCAAACAAAATACTTCCGTCTTAATCCAGCATGACTTAAGAGACAACCACCACTATTAGTAAATACTCTGCATTTATATTCGACTCTAATTTGGATCAGGATAGAGCAGGCGCTGAGATCTGATAAGAGTTAAGCTCTGATTGCCTAGCACTATATTAGTAAATCCAACTCATGTAGTTTTAAGCAGAAAAATTCTGACAGCTGGACATTACAATTTGTCAATTTATTGGGAAACCTATCAGAGTTTTATATTGTGAAAAAATATAAACAAAAATGCACTGAATACGACCAAATATTAACTCATCAACAATTACAAATATACCAATTCAGTGACCCAGGTTCAATTCACAGAAAAATTATACTCACTTCGATTTATTTGCTTCTAAAGCTATATAAATACTAACAACTTCAGAATGCTGTGCTTTATGATTCAACAGCTAGAAGAAAGACATGTATCACCCCAGAGAAGAGGCTGGCCTAACCTTTTATAATGTAAAGAAGTTACCGTTTGTACTGGTAAAGCATTACAGGAGTCTCCTTGATGTAAAAAGTTGTTCAAGTGTTGCGGCCCAAACTTCCGAATCTTGGTCGTGACCTCTACAATGTTATCAACCAAAAAAAACAAGAAAAGAAAAAGCAAAACCACTCAATCTAAATAAATAATCGCAAGTTAAACATAGATACAGTACTTCCTCAGTTTACCATAAATGAAGTACGGAGTACAAAGCTCCAGCTGATCCTGAATTTGTCCATCTCTTTTGAAGCTCACACATCCAGGGGAAACAGGAATTTTATAATCAAATTCATGCAAGGAATGCCAGCTAAGAGCAGAAGACCATGCAGTTAACATACCAGCACAACTCCAAAGATTAATGCTGAACTGCAGAATGCTAGAGTACGAACCTAGAGAGAACGGCAGACAGTTACCTGGAGATGACTACGAACCTAGAGTGAAGAATTGCCAATTCAATATCAACTCTTCTGCTTCGATCAAACACAAAGGAGAAAAGACCAAATAAGGCAAAAAAGGTTTATTAATGACATAACAAGTTGCCACAAACATCAGCCTGCTATACAACATTTCTCTAATAATAAATCAAATAACAAGTTCAAGAACCAAATAATAATCTATAAATTACAGATAGCCAGCTAATGGATGGAGCCTGTACTATTTGTAGCACACAGTTTTAAATTATTACATTGCAATATATCATGTCAAACACCTTCTGACATGTAGGACCTAATCGTATGAAGTGCTAATGATCTAGGAAGCAGTAGTCAGCAACAAATTTGATGAAAGCTAATGCGAAAGAAAGCTTATGTACAGAAAATACAAAATCTTAAAAAAAAATAAAAATAAATAAGGATTAGTTAACATCAATGGTGCTCAAGTTTAGACACCCTAAAAGGGCTTAAACATTTACATGCGCTTAGAAATTGGAAGAGGATGCAAGCAAAGATGAACCAGAAACATAAACAATAAACCAGCACAACAGTTTCACAAAGCAACTTCAAGCATTGCACTGCCACATCTGCAATCCATTATCAAGTAAATACCTGAAAAGCTTGAAAAGTATCTCCTTTATTTGAGGCATGAGGTTAACAGTTTCCAGTGCCCCTTTTTATGCAGCAATTCTTGCAAAAATAAGTGCATGTAGAACATTAAGAACAGGTCAAGATGACAGAAAGATCATATATAATTTTTATGGTACTCCAAAGGCAGTGTATAAAATTAAGGAAGAATGTACATAAAAATACTGTTTTATTTACAAGAGTTTCCTCAAATCTCCACCAATTAGTGTATGAGATAAAAGCAAAAATGATTAAAGAAAGTTCAAAACAATCATGACTAAGGAACTATTGAAAGGGAGGCAAAATATGATCATGGAGAAATGAATTGCTACTTCACACCTTACATGTTAATGCAGGTGCCTGAAACATTTTTTTTTTCTTTCGAATTCAGACATGCAGCTCCTTTTCAATTACAAAGTCTGCTCCATCACAATGGCTACTTATGTCCAACCTCCAAAACAGGCTCAGATCTGTAAGAGCACATGACACAATGGTAGTAAATCCTATTCAGGAAGGTAATATCAGTCAAAAAAAAATTCTGCTACTTCCTGTATTCATATGCGAAACCACCAATTCATCATCAAAGCAGCACATCATAGCCAACCATTGCTGCAAACCCCACCACAATGTGCCTGACTGTATCTGTAAAAGCACAACAGAGACACAGGAAGTAATAGATCCCAGAAACAATTAATGCAAATTTCACTTCCCATTCACTGCATGTTCCAAATCTGTCCAACCCAAGCTGCCACCCCCCGCCAATAGATAGCCATTCAACCAGCCTCAAATAACCAGCCATAGATGCCTAGTACTGCCAGGTGAAGTCCACAGAGACATGATAAGAGAACCCATTACGATCAATGATAAGACAATGTCAAGCATCAAGCCTCATCTTGCCAAAACTACCTTGTATGCTGGGAAAGTAGGCATGAACTCTTTAGAGTTTGGAAGAGGAACCTCTTGGAACCAGGGATGGCTGAGGGCCTCTTTTGCTGTTATCCTCTGCAAAAACAAAAAGGAACAGAACTCAAATAAGAACAATTTAAAATCCCAAAACAAGAACATATAAATAAAACTAGAGCATCCTGTGAGTATTTTGAAAGCAGACATACCATTTCAGGGTCATAGGTCAATAACCGGCTCAGCAAGTCAAGCCCTGAATCAGAAAGTGCTGGAGAGCCTGTAAAAGAAGCACGAGGGAACTTCTTATGCAATTGATTATACCTGAAACCAGAATAATGATAACATAGTTAGGACTTAGGAGCAACATCCTAAACAAGGATAGTAAACCATTAGAGTACAGCAAAATGAAACAGTAAGACAGCATATACTCACGGTTGTTGAACAAAGTTAGCTTTGATCCCAGGCAATTGTGAATACTTCGGCCAAATCTTGTCATTAGGCGTGCCCAGTGTTCTGAATATCTGCAATATAGTCATCAACAAATTAAATAATCAAGCATTCGAAGATAAGACAAAAGAGAAAACTGCATATTGAAAGAAGGCAAAATAAAAGGAACACATGTCTACCTTGTCAAGCTGCTCTAACTCAGTTTTTCCATCAAATAATGGTTTATTGGTCAATAGTTCAGCCATTATGCAACCCACTGACCACAAATCCACCGCTGTAGAGTACTCCTTGGCTCCAAGAAGAAGTTCAGGAGCCCTGCAAACACAACAGAACACCATCAATTACAGTTAGCAAGCTAAATAAAAGCACCAAACAGAATATGATCGTTATTTCAGAAGAGGAAAAACAAAGAGTAGCAACTCTACCTGTACCAAAGAGTAACCACCAATGAAGTATAAGGCTTCAACGGGCTACCATACTGGCGTGCCATTCCAAAATCACATATTTTCAGCTCACCCGAATTATTCAACAAGAGATTTGATGTCTTCAAATCTCTGTGAAGAACCCAATTATCATGAAGATAACTAACACCTTCCAAAAGTTGAAGCATCAAGCACTTCACTTCACTCTGCCTAAAATGCTGCTTCCTGGCTTGCATCAGCGCCTTAAGATCATGCTCCACATAGTCCATCACCATATAAATGTTATCAAATCCCTCGGCGCTTTCATCCACCACTACCTCTCGCACATTTACAATTGAAGGGTGGTTCAAGGACATAAGAGTATTAATTTCCCTCAAATAAACCACTGGGAAACCCTCTCTTTGATTTCCCAACTTCATCTTCTTCAAGGCAACCATCTCACCACTGTCCTTGTCCTTTGCTTTGTATACAATACCATAACTACCCTCACTAATTTTACCAAGTTTTTCGTAATCAAACACCGATCTACAACCTTGCAGCATATTTCTCCTTCCTTGCCCTGCAACTCCAGCCTCAATGTCCTCATCATCACTCACATCAATCTCCATCAATTCATCACCCTCCAATTCGCTTTCCAAACATTCACCCTCACTATAGTATCTCCGCACACATCCTCCATCAGACCCAGAAGACCGACTTCCAGAATAATCAGAACTCTCCTTTTGTGTAACCCCACTCTCAGGACTCGACCTTCTTCCCTTCGACTCGTCCCCTTTACCCTTCTTTTCCCTACTGCACTCCTCAAGGTCATCATCGTTCGCCCAACGAGACATCATAATATTAGGCGCCCGAGAGAAATCCTCTTCGTCAAGCTGCCCCGGCTCCTGATCATCATCAAGGTTCATAACAGGAGAGCACTTCCTCCTCTTCTGCAGAGGCGAAAGCACAATCCCATCATCAAATTCCATACTATCTTCTTCAAAAACACCCCTCTTTCCACCCACATATTCCAAATCTCCATAAACTTCAGAATTAGACCTAATCTTATCTCCAAAATCAAAAACACCATTAGCACGAATCCCAGAAGTTTTTCTTGAAACATGAGAAAGATCTACACTCCTTGACACATTGATTTTACCAGCCGCCATAATATCAGCACACACAAAAATTCCCTCAATTAACGAGAAAAAGAAAAAACAATTTAAGGATTAGAATCCCTAACCCTAATTCTCAAAACTATGAATTTTTTTTTAAACCCTAAACAACGAGATCGTTCAATTACAGACAATTCAAATCCAAAATCAATGATATCACAATGAAATTGATGAAAAACAACGGGTATGTAGCCTTAGAATTCCCAGATCTGGGAGGAATCAATATTACAAAAAATCGAAGGCAAAACCCTAGAAAATCGCAGCGATTTTCCTCAATTTGAACAAGAATTAAAAGTCAGAAATCAAAGGTAACCGAAGATCTTACCAAACAATGATGAAAGAGATTATCGGATGAAATCGCAGGGCCACAAAAACGGAAATCGTCGACGATAAGATGAGGAGAGAGGAAGTGAGGAGGAAAGAGAAGAACAAAAGTCGTCGACGCTACTTAACCCAGCAAATTAACGAATATTCGAATGTCTAGACGGATGCCCTTTAATATTTTCTTAGGTCGGCGGAAGGAAATTAGCCGTTTTTTTTTTTTTTTTTTACCGACTTTTAAATTAGGAAAACTAGGGCGCGGAATATATTAATAGTATGTTTTATTATTTTTTTATTACTATAATATTTTTAATTTAATTTTGTAAATATAATAGTGGAAGTTATAAAATACTTCCTCCGTTTCTTTTTAGTTAACATGTTTTTTTAGTCATATTTGCGAATACACTTACTCAATCATTAATATCTTTAATTATCAATAATCAATAATTTTGAAAAGTTGATATTTTGAAAGTATATAACGTTACGAATCTAAGAAGATCCCATATGACTGTATTTTTCATCACATATAAAGTACAAAATACGGTCAAAGGGAGGTGAATGAATAGTGTTAAAGTCAAAACGTGTCAACTAAAAAGAAAAGGAGGTAGTAGGAAGTTATGATGGATTTTTTTTATTATTATTATTATTATTTTAGAGTAAAGTTAACAAAATTTGAGGATTGATAGTTTGAAGTGATGTGGTTAAAAGTTGGGAAAACATCTTTTAAATTATAATATAGATATAGATTAGAGTGTACCCGTGCAAAATGCACCGGATATATAACACATAGTAAGATATTAAAATAAATACAGTGTAGGAAGTTTTTTTAAAAGGAAAATTGTGGAACTTATGCTAGTGTGTTAGTTTTCTGTGCGCAACAACACCGTAGGGTTACTGGTAGAAAAATGGAATAACATGTATTATATTGAAACGGTAAACCCTTATTATACGTTTTGCATAACCCTGAAAACAACATAACCTCTATGTTATTAACTAAGTAAGCTCTATATCCATAACGGAGTAACCATTATAACACTAACCGAGTAATTTCATAAAGTGGTCAGCTAAAAGTTAGAGAACTTATGGGGGCTATATTATTTTCAAAAATAAATAAAATGCCTATAAATTTAAGATTGCAGTTTTCAGAGTTGGGATAATACATTAAAAAATGAAACGTGCAATTATAATATAAATTTCTTCCAATATTGTGTTATAAAAAATTAGCGTTTATTGTTTGTAATATTAAGTAAAGTGGGTAGTTCCCTCAAAAATTAAAAAGAAAAGTGGGTAGTTTATATATTAATTTTTCTTAAGATGAAAAAACATAATAAATATGGTTGTAGTTGAATGTTGTTAAAAAAATGTGTAATTATATATGGAGATGTATATTGTATTGTAAAATAGTAAAAGTGAAAGTGGAAGTTATTGACAACCAAAAAAAAAAAGAAAAAGAAAATGAAAAGATAGGTAGTTTTTTTCTAAAAAAAAAAGAAAAGAAAAAAAAAATTGCACCAAATTGTCTGATTAGGGTTTTGAAGTGATGCGGTTTACTATTGCAAAAATGACTCTACATATATTAGATTTGTTAAAAAAATCTTTAATAGGGGTTGAAATTTTTTTTTTCCCATAAAAATCTTATAAAAATTTCTTGATTTTTTTTTTTTTTTTTTTTTGTGAAGAAAATTTCTTGACAAGTTGAAATATTGGTTATAAATTTTTTTTGGAAAAATATAAACTTTGTCCGGTTTTTGAAAATTAAAACGGCATTTTGATTATTCTTCAATAAAAAAAAACACCTTTGACACTAATCTTCCATAATCAGGGGCGTAGCCAGGATTTTAAATCCACATGGGCCAACCGACCAAAACAAATTTTAAACCAAAAATATATATTCAAATTCAAAATATACTTCAAAAACCAATATTCTGATTCCACTTAAGGCCTGCTCCCATACGATTATTTTCAGTTCAGTTCAGCTCCTAATTTCCTTCTCTTATAAAATATTCATTTTAGTTCAGTTTAGCTCTAATAAGTCAGTTCAGTTCAGTTCAGCTGAGTTCAGTCAATGAGAATAAACTTCAGCTTAATTTCAATTCAATTCAGTTCTATTCAGTTCCGCTCCAATCAATTCAGTTCAGTTCACTTCAAATCCTAATTTCCCTCTCTCATAAAATATTCATTTCAGCTTAGTTCTGTTCAGTTCAGCTCCAATCAGTTCAGTTCAGTTCATCTCAGTTCAGTAAATGTGAACAGGCCCTAAGTAACATTAAAAATAATTCAATTTTAATTGTACCCTACGAACTTTCAAACTAGCGAAATCATCAATCTACACTATCAAAATGTCACTAAGAAAATCATCCTCCATCCAATTTCAAAGAGTAGTTTTGACAATGCTCATTGCAGAAAATGCACGTTCACATGTCGTCGTTGAGACTGAGAGAGTTAGAATAAGACGGATCAACCTATCAACAAGAGGATATGATGTTGTAGCTTTTTCTGTGTCTGCCAATACCTTGATGAGTTGTGTTACGGTGGACACATTTTATAGCTTCGAGTCACCTCTAAACCATCTTACACATCGCTTCAAGGGCGACACTACAGGCACCGACACAATAGGTACCCCTTTACGCATCGCCCATAACGTGACGCGTTAGGTCAGTTTATGAATTGCCTTTTTCATTACAGGTAACACATTAGGTTGGTTTATAAGTCGCCTTTTTTCATTATAGGTGACGTGCTAGGTTGGTTTATGAGTCGCCTTTTTCATTACAGGTGAAGTGTTAGGTTGATTTATGAGTCGCCTTTTTCATTATAGGCGACGCATTAGGTGTATTTTATGAGTTGTCTGCTTTTTATGAGGCGACGCGTAAAGTAATTTCATGAAAAGTATAATTCTTCAATAGCGATGCCAAAATACAATTTTTTTTTTCTTTTTCCTTATTAAATTTACACTTGCTACTATAACTACAACCTATGTAGGACTTGAACCCACATCTATGTGCAATAGCTCATTGCTCTACCATTTGAGCTAATAGGCTTTTGCAAACTTCTATGACAAAACTTCTATAAAACTAACATTAGAAATATCAACATAAACATAGATACCATTTGACCCTCAAACTTTGTCTGAACGACATGGTCAAAATCCGAAAATGAAATAAGTTAGAAGTCATAGTATATGATACACAATTTAACAAAAATAGGTTCAAGGATCGACATCAAACCATTCCCTTCAAGGATACCATCTTTGCAATATTATATCCATCAAAGATTAAAAGCAAACACACCCATTTCACAATTATTCTTTAATAAACAATGGCTAGCACCAAAAACACATAATTAAGGCTAATTTTAGAGAGAACAAAAAGTCTACCAGAAGGACTCAAATTCCTCATACAACAAGAAACTTTGAAATTAACGATCCTAACTTGAACAGGCATAAATACAAACTACTAAACTCCTCCTTACTGTCACTTCGCCATTCAATATTGCAATTATATAAAAATCAATTTCAATCACATAAAACAATATATAGTGACAAGTAGGGGTGTACATAAACTGTCCGGACCGAAAACCGGACCTGAACCGGACCAGAATGCTCAGGTTTGATTCTGGGCCTATAAAATGGTCCCATCCGGTTTTCGGTTTTAACCGGTTTTTCCCGGTCCAGACCGTAGAACTTTTTTTTTTTTTTTTTTTTTTTTTGTATAATCAGGAAACAATTACTCTCATTCACCAGTCAACAACGTTCACTCATCCAGTTCAATCCTCTCACCTAAACAACCCTAAGTCCGACTCTCTCTCTCTCACAGGCGGCGACTCTCTCACTGGCGGCGATTCTCTCTCTACGGCGGTGATTCTCTCTCTGCGGCGGTGATTCTCTCTCTGCGGCGGCGATTCTCTCTCACCAGCAAGTCAGCGACTCCTCATTCATGGTTAGTGTATTTTTTTCTCAATTATTGATGGTTATTTATTTGGTTGATATTTGCATGTTGATTTTTTTGAATTGTTGATGATTATTTACATATTTTGAGTGCATTTGTATGGATTTTAGGGTTTCTTTGAATCTCTAAATTTATGATTTTTCAATTACTTTGATTATGGGTTTTTGTTTTTTCAATGTCCACCACCTGTTCGACGAAATTACCACATTTTCTACTAAGCTCTGAAATAATTTGGTAAATCGCCACATTGTCTACTTTGCGAATTAACACACTCTATTCAATTCGCCACATTGTAATTGTGAAGTTATTTGCTCATTTGACTGTAATTTTAATGTGGGATTGGGTTATTAGTAGATCATGATCTTCATTTCTATCTCACTGTATGCTCCAATTTAATTCGTGGGAAATTCTGAGGAAAAAAATGAAGTGGGATTTAAGCAATTTATATATAGGAGGCAAGATTTCAGATATCTTTTTCTTTGAATAATGTTTCTGGAATGTATACATTACAATTCACACTAATGAATTTATACCCAGATCAGAAATTATGTACCAACTAATGAACTTCCTACTTTAACATTATGTTGGTTATTCTGCTAGACTGCTACTGCTTGATTATAGTTCTATTATTTACAATTGTCTGCTAGACTGCTTGATTATTTACAATTGTCTGCTAGAGTGCTAGACTGCTAGAATACATGAATGGCCTATTATAGTTCTGTCTTGTTCCCAATTTGCATAGTATATATGGAAGGATATTAATTGTTTCATCTCTTTTAAATGTAGGCAGAGAGCTCCCAATCCAAACGAACGCCCGCTTATTCTCAAGATACGGCACAATCACTTAGTGAAGTGGATGTAGAAGAATTGTATGCTATTTTGCCTCCGGGTAAGAAGTTGAAGGTAGGGCGGAAATATCTACTTAATAGAAAGAGTAAGAGGACGAAACCTTATTGGGAAGACTTCATTGAGTATGTTGAAGGCGGGAGACTGCGAGCTGAATGTAAATACTGTGACAAAACCTATGATGCTGATGGAAACCATAATGGTTCAAAAAATATTAAAAAACATGCAGAATCATGTCTTACCAATCCTGCCAATGTAAATAAGGGCAAAGATAAACAAACTGAGTTGTTTTCTGATAAAGAAAATGATAGTGGCAAATCAAAGTGTGATAATGTTAACTTAAAAGAGATTAGGGAAGCATTGATCTACATGATAATTGTTGATGAGTTACCTTTTAAACATGTAGAGAAGCTGGGTTTTAAGCACTTAATGCAAGTTGCATG